GTGTGTGTATGTGTGTGTGTGTGTGTGTGTGTGTGTGTGTGTGTGTGTGAGAGAGAGGGGGGCCACTCAACAGATCATGTTACCCAGCCAGTTGGCAACAGACAAAAGGCCACTAACCTTCTCTCTCTGTCGTTTCTTCCATTTTTCTCCCTACACCTGCTTTTCTTTTCTTAGAAAAGATAAGCACATTATGAGAAACACTCATTCTTCCATCTATGGCCAAATTAAGAGAATAATATTGTTGTGTGTGTGTGGTCAGACTGTCAGACTTTAACAAACTGTATGCAACATTATTTATCAGAACCGTTTTAAAAGGAAGTCAAAGGTATCATTACTCAAAAATGAAAATTTTGTCATTTACTCACTTTCCAAATATTCTGAATTCTGAATACTCTGTGTAACATAAAAGAAGAGGTTTGGCAGAGTGTTCAAGCTGCTCTTTTCCAAATAATGAAAGTGAATAGGGACTGGGACTGTCTTAAATTTCTGTCTGTTCCTCAAGAAAAGTTATCGGAGAATTTAAATATAGTTGTATGGTCTATTTTTATGTTAGTTTTATGGTACTTTTTGTCATTTTGGAGCTAATTTTCTGTAATTGATATTAAGCTAAAATAAACTACAATATTTATGAAAAACAATGAAAATTAGAAATGGTGCCTTGGCATTTGAATTTGTAGTACTATAACTAAAAAAAAAAAAAAGAAAAATAAAGCTATATAGAAATGATAAACTAATTAAAATGACAAAAGCACATAAAATTACTCAAACTTAAACTGAAATTGAACTGAAAATGTAAAAATGCAAATATTATATAAATATGATAAATACTATAATAGTATGTAAATAATACTAAAAACACTGACTCATTCACTTATAATAATAAAATAATGATAGATAAATAAATGATGAATAATTTTGGGGTGAACTTTAAAGGCCTTACCTTTAAATGTTGTCTGTTGATTTTTAACTTAATATTATAAACCACAAAATGCTGGAGATGACCACAAAAATTTCAGCTTGGCAATGCAGTGTTTTGTCCAGTTCCCAAATTTGGCCTTGAGCCTTTCACAATTATGTGTTTGTGGGACTGTTCCTCCAGCTGTTCCCTGTTATCAGACACTGGCCAGCTGTGTGTGTGCGCGTGTGTGTCGAGGGATTGCAGTCACTTCACCGGCAGCTGTCCAGCGCTGTTTCCGGTCCTCAGCTGTCATTCGTGATTTGCGGCCCTGCGGCTATGTTTCTCAAAAGCCTTATTACAGACTTTGTGTTTGTGAAACCGACATAACAGAGAATTTATATATGAGAAACTCTGTCCTGTAAACACCCAACCAATTTGAAAATATCCCACTTTCTTTTTCCAGGTGCAAATAAAGTCATTGATGTGATTGATGTCGCAAGACAGGCAGACAGCAAGCTCAAGCTGGGAGAGTTCGTGAAATATTACTACCAACCTGAACGACCAAAAGTGTTAAATCTTATCAGCCTGGAGTTCTCTGATACAAAGTATGTCTGTGTGGGAACCCATCGTTTTCCTTTCTATGCAACGTAACTTCAGCTTATTTTACTGGTTGATAACACTCAAGTAGCATTAAAATCAGTGTTGTTGCATTATACATTTAACACATATAAATGCTTTTTTGAAGTCTAATTTTTGTTTTCTTCTTTGTTTTAGGATGTCCAATTTGGTGGAGGTTCCTGAAATTGCGCAGAAGATGTCCTGGGTTGAGAACTACTGGCCTGATGACTCGTTCTTCCCCAAACCATTTGTGCAGAAGTATTGTCTCATGGGAATGAAAAACAGTTACACAGACTTCCACATCGATTTTGGAGGAACTTCAGTGTGGTATCATGTTCTCTGGGTAAGAACTAAGGCCTGTTTTATGATGTGAATCTGTTTTATGAAGTGTACAGTTTTTTTGTATATGACCATCTAAATGGTTTCATAAGCAATTTGTGGAGATTCGGTCATGTGATATTACAGTTATGTAAGTGATAAGTGCTGATAAGGATGTGGTTTTTTTTTGCAGGGAGAGAAGATTTTCTACTTGATCAAGCCGACTAAGGCTAACCTTGCACTATATGAGTCCTGGAGCTCATCACCCAGTCAGAGCGAAGTATTCTTTGGGGATAAAGTCGACAAGTGTTACAAATGTGTGGTGAAGCAGGGAACTACCATCTTCCTCCCCACTGGTGAGAACGCAGAATCGAAATCATTTTTGGTGTCCATCGAAAGATTATCCCCACCCTTCATTTGGTGCCCAAATAAAATCAGTTAAAATTAATTTTAAATTATAAATTAAACTATATTAAAATTAAAAATCATTAAAATGTTATTTCATGTCAGAATTGTCAGGGTGGTACAACTGTCATGATATCAAAATGAAGAAACAAGCATCATTAAAATAATGAAATTTTTACAGAAAACCTTAGTTGTTTGCCACGATCTTTTAATATTATCATAAATCACGTGGTGCAACAAACATGTACAAACCATAACTTAGAGTCCCTCATGGCTATGTGACAAAGAAAGGTCAGTTCAGGTTGTGAAATGTCATGTGGTGTGACTCCCCAAAAAGTAATGATATTTATGAATTAATAATTCATGATATTTGTAATGTCACGTTTGTTACTTTTTTACTATGAAACCTATATTTATAAACATTTTTAAAAAATGATGATTAAGATGTGTACACTCACATGTTTAAGGCATGAGGAAAACTGGTATTACTTTTTACTTGAGGGTTACACCACATGACATTTTTAGTGTCATTACTTTGAAACTTTTCTTAAATTCTATAAATATTTTTCAAAAGCATATGGAACCAACAGTAATACAAGGAGTACATTGCCAAGAAATTAACTAACTAGATTTAAAAAAAATGTTTCTTTATTTATTGTAGATGCTCTTATTTGTCATCGACCCAAACAACGACATGCCTTTTGTATCCTTGTTTGACCCCACATTGCAAAATAGCATGTGCGCTTTTGTAGAAAAACACGTACATGGTACGGCAAGGCGAAAATAAGATCAGGCGGTTTCCCAGAGCTCCTGCCAGGAAAATGTGGATCAGCGTCCAACACAGATGACCTTTGTTATAGTGGGAGTGTTGGGCAACGATCTTCGCTGAGCAACGTGGTAAACAGTATAAAAACACTCTGATGGGCTATGATGCAATTCACGTGCATCTCACCGAATGGAAAGAATGTAGAATGAAAAGTATCTGGGCGTTCCTTTAATCGATCGTCAGAAGCGCTATGTTAATTCAGCATGCATTTAGAGTGCTATAAATGGTCTTTAACCACTGCGGAGGCAGTAGACGTAACTCTTCTTGCAGCAGGGATTCATTATGCATTACGCAGCATGTGTATTTGTGGCGTGTGAAAGTGAGCATGTGGGTTTCCCTCCTCGAGCAGAACGTCACATATGACGAAGCAGAAATCCCCTTCTTGTTTAGCAACATGTCTGCACACGGTGGCCAATGCACATGCAGCTAGACGGAGAGATAAAACTGATATTTCTGTCAGTGGCAGTGAGGTGTGGGTGTGAGATAACTCTATATTTGGCTTTTGCTGATGTGTATTTGTATGTGTGTGTATACACACTGGTTACTGTTGTGAATTGTGTGTGTACACTGTATTTTGCTGATGTCTATGAATATCAAGGCTGATTAATACAGATGGAGTAATATGCCATGGTTCAGTGTAAGAGAGTTTTAGCCAGTTAATGGAACTTAAACTTCAGTTCTGCTTATTTATCTGGCTGGCTGACATTGGTGAGGTTTTGTAAAAAATTTGCCAATTTAGTGACAATTTGAAGGAGCTTTTTCCCAAAAGAAGTAAAAACTGCTTAGGCTGTTTCAAAGATGCTGAGAGCATTGTAGGGATGAAAATTGTGAGAATAACTTGTGGTAGTCTCAAAGTGATTTTGTATTGTAAGTTATGTGTGCTTTTTTTTTCTGGATAAAATTAAAATTATATTAGATTTAATACAAATTTTATTAAATTAAAATATTAACATATCAATTATTTTAAATTGTTTAAAATATACTAAATATTAATTCTTAATGTTTTCTTTAGATTTTTATTCAATAAGATTTAAATATTTTATATTATTTTAATCAGTATTTTTTACTTCCTGAATTAAATTACATTTAAATTATGTAAATTAAATGTAAAATGTTTAATAGATTAAATATTAATTCTTAATCCTTTGATTTTTAAACTAAGATATATGCTAATTAATGAAATGGGTGTTTTAACATGGTGTAACTTGCTAGTAGTGTTTAATCAAAATAATATATATATATATATATATATATACAGATGATTCAGAGACAGAATGATGATTAACTATTGTTTTTGGTTTAGCTAGTGAAAATGAACCAGGTCTGCATAAAGTAATCTTTCCCGAGGCCTGAATGTTGATCTCTGTTGCCCTCTACAGGTTGGATCCATGCAGTGCTCACTTCTCAGGATTCCATGGCGTTTGGTGGGAACTTCTTGCATAACTTAAACATAGGCATGCAGCTCAGGTAAAATCCTGAATTAATTTTGATGAAGCTTCTCTGTATTGTTACTGTCACTATAGTTAAGTTCAGGTTTCTAAACGTATTCCTGCTGGAACTGAACTACCTCTCCATCCACATTTTAGGTGTTATGAGATGGAACGCAGACTGAAGACTCCAGATCTCTTTAAGTTCCCCTACTTTGAGGCCATCTGCTGGTATGTGGCCAAAAACCTTCTGGAGACCCTTAAAGGTGAGTGGGACAGGACTGCTCATGCAGGGCAGGATTTTCCCAAACTGGGAAAAATGAGGGAACGTGCAAAGGGTTTGGGAGTTGATGAAAAGCTAATAATATGATTATCAATAAAACACTTACTAAAAAATGATGAAATATGTGTTTACCTCCATGTCATGTCATCATAAACCAATATGCAAATGTAGTTCCTTGCATAAATGTAGTTGTAGATGTAGCATCATGATCAAGTGAAGATTCAGATTGAAACATGTTTGTGTTTCAGAGCTGCGGGAGGATAAATGTCAACCTCGGGGTTATCTAGTGGACGGGGTGAAAGCTTTAATCTCATCACTGAAGACGTGGCTGAGGAGGGAGGTAAGAAAATGTCCGCTTTTTCTCTGTCATTGTTTTTATAGTAAAACTCCTGTGGCTGTTGTACATGCTCATTTTCTCTGTGTTTCCTCTGCAGTTAACTCAACCCAACAGTGAGGTTCCAGACAATATCAGGCCAAGCCGTCTCATTAAAGCTCTGACCACAGAGATCCGCTACCTGGAGGTAAGACAAGCCTGAAGAAGCTGAGTGGTTTTGAATGGGTGATGAGACCATAATTCACAGGTCTTTAGACATAAGCTGCTTTTTATTTTGATGTTCACTTTGCAATGTTATGAGAACTAGGGATGTCCCTGAAGCTGAATACTGTGTTCGGAAAGGAAATGATGCATTTTACAGAGCCCCTAAAGGGACATGGTGATGGAAAAAATATGTGACGTGAAGAAAAATAAGTTGCAATGCTTTTGCGTTGTCTCACAATTATATTGGGTAATTATATTGTATATAATTTGCAGGCATCAGGGAGCCACTATCAATATCGGGATTGAAAACGCTTTTGAATGTGCGCTCGCGTTTTACTTTCACGAATTCACAATCATGCGTACTCTGTGTATAGGGAGTGGCGGTACTGATTTTACAAGATATTTGTCAATGACGCTATGGATCTGTTGCGCACCAAATCCTTCGACATCAGTCAGTCATCTATCCTTACTATCTTCATGCGATTAGTGAAATTTTATGTACTTTAATGTGACTGACTACCGCAGCAAGCCTAACAATGTCCCTTTAGGGGCTCCGTAGATTGCCTTGTATTGCTTTTCCGTGCCTTTCCGAATTCGGATTTAGACTTCGGGCACATCCCTAAAGCTGGGGACACACTACACGACTAGCTGAAACACTCTAAGACTGAACTCTGAACGCACTTAAAGACTGTTTCCATCGACTGGAACAGATTCTAGTCTTTTGACAGTCAGAGAGGAGCACAAACCTAATGACTGAGTCAGTCCACAACACAACACTTAACGACTGGCGAATCACGACTAGACAAATTTTGCTGAACCAAAAAAATAAAAAATTAATAAATAATAATAAATAAACTCACAATAACTTAACTGTGCAAGATCTTGTACCAAAACACACAGGGATGTCAACATACACCTGGCAGTATTTATTTGCTGCAATTTGTGCAGAAAAATAAATCAATCAATCAAAGTATCCAATTATAAGATCTACCCGCAACCCCTCCCTTTATAAAATGTAAAATATATTTAATATTCTTAAAATGTTTCTTTTTCCTTATTTAAATGTTTGCCCATTAATGTAATGGCAGTTTCTACATGGTGCAACACGGCTGCAAAAGCAGCTCCTCCAAGAAGTTTAATTGATTTGCTGTGTTTTCTTAAACAGGATGAATCGAATAAAGCTGAAAAATCTCAGGGAAGTGCTGAGTGGCCTTTAACACGCTCATCACTGGAGAAAGGATATCAGGTACAGCGGGCCGCTTGGCGGCTACGAGACCATCATCATCATCATCATCACAGCCGCAGACTGCCCTCTAACTTGGATGTCTTGGAGCTTCACACACTGGAGGTTCTCCATAGCGTCATTAGGCTTTATCATTCCTTATCATATGACTGTAATGCAATGCTATCAAATGATTGTAGAGGACATTTTCACCTTGATATTAGATATGTTCACTGCTTTAGCAGCATGCAATTATTATTATTCATTTCCAGTATAAACACCTCTCATCTCTTGTAACAGGACCCAGACTTCAGCTCCAAAGTGAATGGCAAGTTCAAGAAAGTGTCTTCGGTGTCTGCAGTAGCTGTTGAGGGTAGTCATGACAACGCCCTGCGCCTGGTGCTGTGTAATGGCAAAATTATGCGGTGAGGGTCCTGGTAGCTTCACTTGTTTTTTGACATTAGATTGTCTATCTATTGGACACTAGCTGTCATTCTTATCAAAGCTGATACTAAGAAAAAAATACAATCATACTGGTAATTGTACAGCAATATTAATCTTAATAATGTTAATAATAACCAAACTGTTTTTACAGTAATTGAACATTATTTGTAAAAGAAAGTTATTAGACATTATAAGAAAAAATTCGAAATTTCTTTGTTCTTTATTACTTGAATGTTATTTTGAAGCAAAATTCCATGCCATTGTTTTCTTTTAACTTGTAGACATCTGTATTATTTAACTTGTATTGGTATATTGACTACTAAAATGTTGGTATTGTGATCCCCCCCCCACCTCTACCTCTTAATTCTTGGCGTGATATAGTTTGATTTATACTAGTATTCTTTATACTAGCTTTATCTCTTAAGATTTTTTTTTTAAATAGAAATGTATGTTTTTATTCATCAAGGATACACTAAACTGATCAAAAGTGACAGTAAAAGTTTTTACATCGTTACAAAATAAATATATATATATATATACAGTATATTTCTGGTCATCAAAGAATCCTGAAAAAAAAATGTAGCATGATTTCCATAAAAATATTAAGCAGCACAACTGGAATAATAAGAAATGTTTCTTGAGCAACAAATCGGCATATTAGTATGATTTCTGAAGGATCACATGACACTGAAGACTGGAGTAATGATGCTGAAAATTCAGCTTTGCCGTCATTTTAAATAAGTGGATCCTTGGTGAGAAGAAGAGATGTCTTTAAAAATAAATAAATAAATAAATAAATAATAATATTATTAAAATCTTACCAACCCCAAACTTTTGAATGGTAGTGTATGCTTATATTTGATGTATTATAATTAAATTTTATTTTTTATTTATATTTTATTTGTTTATTGTGATATATTCATTATAGGAATAAAATGTTATTTTTTGAAGGCTTTTTGTATTCTAAACATCTCGTGAAGAAGTGTGTCCTCCTTCCTCACAGGGAGAGGTTCTCTATCAGTAATGTGGCAGCCAAAGAGAATGGAGTGGAAATGTTGCAGTATCATCAACACGGGATCAAATTTGAAAGCCTGCTGATGTGCCCACAAGAAAAAGTGAAAAAAGAAAAGCGAGAGGATGAATTAAGAGTACACTGCACTATCAAGAAACCAGTCAATCACGGTGAGTTATTCGGAGCTGTAGAGGATGTCGCAACCCAGTTTTCTCCAGAATGCTTACATAATACTGAAGCCATAAAAAGCATAATTTTCTTCTGTTAATAGTGATTGATTATAATGTAAAAGGAGATTTGTTTGACTCTTGTTATTTTGTCAGGTCTAACTGAGCAGACAGAACTCAGGACAGAGTCGCCACATGTAGAGTCTTCAGACAGTGACTCAGAGTCAGAAGCAGAAGATTCTGCTGAGGTGCTGATGATGTCCAATAAGCTCCCCAGGAGCTAAACACTTGGTTAAATGGCTTATCATCTGTCCATCCTAATCCTCTCCATCACCCTTTCTTTAAACAGAAACGCTCGGAGTCAGAGAGTTCTGAGGAAGAGGATGGAGGAAGCAAGCGAGACTCAGGGAGTTTTGTGGAGCATCTGAGCGGCCGGCCGCACGGCCACCATAAGCAAGCGCTAAAACGGTACGGCTGCCCTTCATTTTACACACCTGAGAAACTTGGCACAGTTTAAAAGCTCATTTTAAGTCCCTTTTCTCTTTTTTTTGTGCTAAAATTGAAAACTTCTTGTCCGCAGAGAACGTCCTACCTCACCGAGCACAGCTGATGCCATTCAGGGCATGCTGTCTATGGCGGGGCTGCTGTGTCAGCAGGCATCAGCAGGGGGCGATATTTTACAGCAGCACTGGTGGTCCAGTCAGGGTAACGGTAACAGCAACAGCAGCAGTGATGCGTGGGACAGCAGTGAACCCTGTTCGGCACCCCGCAGCCCAGAGGGAGAGGATGGGAGTCTCAGAGAGGAATATTCATATAGAGAGAGCTCACTTTCTCCTCCCCTCCACCCCTCCAAAAGACACACCCCCAACCCCACACCTATCAGCAACCAGGCCACTAAAGGTAAGCTGACTCAACTTTTATTACTTCGGGGGAAAAAAATAAAAAAATCATAGTAACAATAATATTTGTATTGTTATTTCTTATTAAAGGAAAAATTTTATTTGCCAAAAATCATATAGAGGACCTCTGCTGACCCTCATAACAGTGTATCAAAGTCAATAATTTGACCTTTAAAAATAGATTTTTGTTGAAACTATATTTTTTATCTTGAAAAAAATGTGAAAGTATGAAAATTGGTTTAAAACTATATTTTAATATATATGTATATATAACCGAGACTTGTCATATATATATAATTTAATTTACTTTTTTTTGTGGAAAATTATGATATTTGTTACATTTATTTTTGCCTTAGAATATGTGAAGGGACATTTTGAAAATAGTTGTGCACTCACATTTATTCAGAGTGCAAAGAAAATGTTTTAGTTATTACTTGGTTACACCACATGACATTTTTAGAGTCATCAAATTTGTCAAAACTTTTCTTTAACATGGTATAAAGGTTTTTAAATATCATTTGAAATACAGTAAATACATTTAAGTATGTTGCACATTATAAAACGGATAGTTCCGGTCCTTGATTCTGATTGGCTGAGCCATGTTCGAAGCTGTTGTAAATTTGAAATGCACCTGTAAATTCACTGTAAACCACGGCTTCTTGGCGCTTATTGCTTTATTTTAAACTACATTTTTAAAGGATTTTTTTTTTACCCACTTATATGACGTTTACCAATAAAACATTCTTGGGAGTTCACAAAATCACTCCAAAAATGTATGTTCTTGGGTTAACAGTAATGTTTGCAACTATTACTGCTGAAGGGCTAGTATTGACTTGAAAGCTTTTGCTTATATCGTGTTTTTGTGGTTTTATTGCAGGAAAGCGTCCTAAGAAAGGACAGGCGACAACTAAACAGAGGCTTGGGAAGATATTGAAAATGAGCCGCCATAAAGGCTTATTCCTGTAGCATGATGACGTGTAATAAATCAACACAGCTGCTTTTCTTTATACGCTGGGACTATTATCACACACACACACACACACACACACAGTTCTCTTACTGTGCATGTTTAGGTGACAGGGTATGTTTAATGGCTCACTTGTTTTCTTTTTCACAATTCACACAAAATACAACACGTTATCCATCAGCGTAGGGAAAAACTGCTTTACTTTGGACAACATTTCAACATTAACAGCCAAAAGTTTCAAGAGGAAGCACAGAAACGGATGGTCGGAGGTCCAGAGAGCAGCGTGTAGGAAAACGAGCCGCAAGTGTGTATCACGGGCTGAGGCCTCTCCTCTCCCCTCCCCCACCCTACCTCTTACCACATCTGTAGCATGAGTGTCCAGGCGCTCGCAGGCTAAGGACATCTTCCTAGCCCTCTACAGCCTGACACTGTCCTTCGGATTCCCCTCAAGTCATTATCAATCTGCCTATTTCTCTCTACTTTGATTGTCTCAGGCTGATGTGTGAGCTTTGGAAATGGTGCTGAACATTTATAAATCCGTCTCCAGTCCCCTCTGCCCCTTTAAGCAATAATTGTACAGCAGTGAGTGATGTATTGATGATTTAGTGGTCCTTACTTTTAGGATGCACAGGAAGTCCTCTCATAGTGGAAAGTATTGGTCATAACAGTACAGCCATCAAAAGAAATCAAAAAGTGGCAAAGATAAAAAAAACTACATGATTTTCTTTGATTTAACAGCGTTTATACTACATTTATTCTTGGGTGGACATAAATAGGTGATTTAAAGGAATATTCTGGGGTATTTTTTTATATAAAACGTTCAAGTTCTTCTCATTTTGTAAAAACAAAACATTAGATTTAAAAGATGTTTTTACATTGCTAGTCTGGCAATCCTTGTATTGCAGGTGCATCAGATGTTGTCAACCTTTTTTGTATTTTTTTTTTATTCCGAAAGCTAGCGAAATATTGCTTTCACACTGGGAAAATTGAGGAAAATACGTTGCCACGCATTAATTTGCCTTTGTCACAACCCAGTGGCCACAGAGAGGTACTGCACCCTGGAGCGCTGCCTCTCAAATACTGTATGTGGTGTAGTTTGCGAGGACTAAATATGCTTGTCACGTGATTGACAGTGATCTTTCGCTCATTCTGCATAATTTATGTTTGTTCGTTTTAAAATATTTTGTTGACTGAACAGCTTATTTATTAATTTCAAAGATATAAGGATTTATATTGCATTGAGTTTCCTGTTTTTCCCTTTGCATTGGATAGTTTTGTAAATAGGAGTATAATTTTGAATGTTACCGATTCAAGAGGAATGGGATTTTGTTTAGGTTCAGCTTGATGGATTTTGTAGTTAACACATTTAATGCTACTTAAAAGAAATTTGAATGATTTTAACCTGTTAAATTTACCTCTGAAATATTAGTGCAAATTGAGTTTGTTTGAATAATGTTGCTTTATGTTGTTTTTATGACCTGTTGAAACGGGACAAAAGAATTTAAGTGGGAACAACAACAAAAAAGTGGTATTTGTGTGTGAATTTCTTAGAGAGGCTATGAAACGTTTTCTCAGGGAACATCGAACAGGTGACATCTTTGAATTCATCACCAGCACTGTCATACAAACTCATTTTATACTCGTTTCCACAAATTTGCCAACAAATGTATGTATTCCCAATAATTTTACTTTTCTTTTCTTTTTGTCCAGTGGACGTAAATTCCAGATTCAGAACAAAATCATGTTTTGAGAGCAAGTTTTGTGGAAACATGTCATTGCTGTACAGTATATTTAAAAAAATGTTGGACTTTGTGCATAGAGCAGCACCGACAGATTTTGATCAGCTATTCTTGATTGTTGTGTAAGAGGTCTGTTGGCTCGAAAAGCAAATGCACTATTTTGGATGACTTGAGTTTGATAACTGCTAAAACTCGGGCTTTGTTAAGGTTTTGAGGTTTGCTCGTGCGCATGTGTTTTATGAAAAAATGTTCCTCTGTTCCCACTCACTAACCTTAATATAGACGAGCACCCTTTGTAAATTTCAGCTTTCTGAAGGCAACAGCTCATCTCCTTCATATTTGATCAATCGAGCTGGTCTTCAGACAGGTTTCTTTTGACGCATTAATTGTACAGTATTTGTTAATCTCTAGCATTCATTTCCATTTTCGACTGTGGTATAGACGTTAACGTCACTGTGTTTTCAAATGCTGTGTTCTATTCCTCCTCTTCAAAATGTCCCAGAGTTCTCTTTGGATGTGATGGATTTTCTCCAGTGCAATGTATATATACGATGAGGGAAATGTTTTGTAGATCACACTGTTTTCCCCTTCCCTTTACCAAATGTTTAGTGATAAAACACTGTTCTACTGACTAATTGAAGTGTTGATGGCTTTTATTTCTTTATTTTATAATGCAACTTTAACAATTAGACTTGATAATAAGTCCATATACATAACAGGAACTTTCAGTTTCCTCTACAGAAAATGTGCGGGTTTTGTGATCTGGTGCACATCTGCGAATGCAAAGCAGAGAAGAGAAATATCAGTTGTCAACACCAGGTAACTGCACTGAGGAAATAAGCTATTTCTCTTGTATGTAAATGAGTTACACATATGTACATTGGGTTGTTGGGGGTGAATCTACTCTTCATCATCAGGTGGAATTCCCAGCTCCTCATCTGTCCATGCTGAAGTGTCCGGCCATGGGAAATGACCCTAAAGAGACAATATAGTTAAGTGGCTGGTAGTCTGTTTATTATGAAATGGCTAAAAACGGTAACATTTAATCCCATTGCTCATCTATTTTGATGCAGTTTCCACTCACCAGTACGGCGTCTGGATCGTGCCAGATGTGCCACAGGATCCAGAACCACATGGCGCCGCTGAGCAGCTCTGCCTGAAACTTCTGGTTCCTGGTGAGCTGAGGAGATTGTCTGTATTGGGGTTCAATATGAGCGCCACCTCCTGCCCTAAAACACAGCCGACAGAAAGATTACCAGTACGTAAGTGAAATTTTATGGCTAGCAGTGCTAATGCAAACCCATGGTACTACAAACCATGATATATGCTGATACTGACAAGCTTAACAAATATATATGGATATTTATAAACAAACAAAAAAACCTACAATAATTAAAATTAATAAATTGTTCATAAAATTTGATTTTTTAAAATCTATTATATTAAATTATTTCTGTAATACATTAATTTTTAAAGTACACATTCACATATTTTTACATTTATTTTCTTGTTCTTACAAAGCTTAAACATTTATCTGCATCGGACAAACAAGTAAAAAGAAATAAGGAATTATCTTTTAAGTAATAGTAAATGCATCATATTAGGACCTATCTTTTTTGAATTTATAATAAACTTCATTATTAGACCCTTAATGCAATTAACTACATTTACAAAGTACAGTGGTACTAACATTTTTTTAGACAATTTATCGTAGTTTTCCCTTGGTACGAGCATGTGTTATGGCAAGTCCCATAGTAATACCAACAACTATTTTAGACCTTGTACTTTGGAGTACATTGCAAATACCATTGTATGTGAAAATATAAACACTCAGTGCTATGGTATTACATGTACTATGGTACGACCAGGGTAAACACTTCTAGCCTCTACTCTATAGTTATATCCCGCTATCTAATTCCTAATTTATAAATCTGGCTAAATTCCGTATATTTAAATTGAATTAGCGCCGTTATGCTTCTTACGTATTATTTAGACTTTCCAAGAACCAAACTACAGACTTGACTGTATTGAAGCAGCACGTTTAGCCTGTTAGCGTCCTGCTCATAAACACTCACTTTCTGACGGTCATCTGCTGAGGTCCGCGTCTGAAGAGCTGCAGGCCGGTTCGGAGGACACCCGCCGTCCTCCTGAGAGAAGACATGCTTATATTTGTGCCACCACTCTATTTTTAAAATGGCTTTGGCTCGGATGAGCTGCGGTGACCAGATAGCTAAATGTCACCTTAAGTTTGCAGCGGCTGTTTCTTTGACCTGCTAATAACGAGCGCTGTGATTGGTCACTTAATACAAGGCGTTTTAATGCTACTCACTGTCTGCTCGATAGAGGGCGCCAAATACCAACTGAGAAAAGATCGACTAGGGCTGCGTTCAGCCCCGACAAAAACGGTGCAAAACGTTTTTTAAACGGAAACGGTGATGCGTTGAACACCCTGTTCTGAAGAGTTGCAACTATGGCAGCTGTTCCAGGAAACATGTCGTTCAAACCGGAAACCGTAGCAAAACGTTTGAGCTTGAACTTGCCCCCGGTGTTTCCAAAAAAATTAAATAAGCATAACAAAACATGAGTGTTAAAATGTATAAATTAAGTTTTTCCAATCAACTTCATATAAAATTAAGTACTAAATTTTGTAATTTATGTTAAAATTCACTCTGTGCAATTCAATTTTATTGTACTTTATTTGCATTTATTTTATTATATGCATTACATGAAGAAATGTTTAGGAAATTGTATTAATTCAGACTATGAAAACAGGGCACAGGAGACAAGTAATCATTATATCTGAAATAGTACTTTATTTGCACAAACAGCAATAAATCTCAACATTTTCTCTACTATTGTCTTTATGACTCCGAGGACTATTGTCCAAGACAATATTCAAAGGGCTGGGAGAGACTAGGAGTGTCAGAAGAATAACATAATTAAATATGACTAATCCTGTGATTATATATATATGTTTCAAAACTGTATGTTTGGCAATTAAATATAAGCAAATAACAGTTCTTTAATGAAAAAAAAAAAACAGTTTACAGGTTATCAGGCTACATATTTTAGCATATTAACCCTGTAAAGCCTGACATATAAAATAAATAATAGTCAGAATAATCAATTTTTTAAAATGGAATAGTTTATTGAACCTCCTTATTAAATTAAAAAAGTAAATGTTTTGTTTCATATTTGATATGTTAGGCTTTTATGGCCCAGAGTATATAAATGAATGTGGTGCTCATACTTGAGGAAAAAAACACATCAGTCTTACTCAGAGGCCCATACTAAGCAAAAATATGCCATTTGATGTAGATGTTATTTATGTGGCCAAAACATTAGATGAAATTCTGATATCTTGTAATGTTAAATCAATAGCATTTCTAAGAGTATCGCAGACTACTTATAAAATGCATGTAAATATCACTCAAAATCTCTCAATAATGGGTTGGTAAGATTTACATTTAAATAGATTGTGTACAACAGGTTTTAAAGCACATTTTTGATCATGTTGATAATTTACAGGCCTTAGAAATTAATGTATAAAATATGATACAGAAGGCTTTATAGGTTAAATTTGGTCATTTCAATTTGTTGTTTCAGCCACCTGATTACAAACCCCTGCACTTTACTAACCATTATAATAATGATATTTAATTTTAAAACCGTAACATGTTGCAATTCGGTCAATATACGATGCACTTGGACGAAGACGACAATTTCGTTGATCATGTAATGGACAAACATAGGCTACTAACAAGTTAAAACAATGTTAGCAACAAAACCGCTTGGAAAATTGCGCTTAATAGACTTTATTAATGGAGCCGGTATGAAAAAACAACTGCAACTCACTGAGCAGTGCGCTCTACAGAAAAAAAAACCTCCATTCAATACGCCATTTACTAATCATCATCCCCAGAGCAGCGCAGAGGCGGCGTGGGGTCGACAACATGGCGGCTGAGGAAACACGAGCAATGGAAAAAGGCGAGCAGATCATGCAGCTCAAAGCCACGACGTTACCTGACATCCATTTTAACGAGCGCGAGAAACGGATTACTTTGGACGGCATTATGGCATCGCACAACAACGATGCGAGACCTCAGCCGGGACGTTTTCTACACACGATTCGCTTCCTGATCAGCACCGAAACAGGAAACGCGCGCTCCAGTCCCTTTTGTTGCAGCTCATATGCGGCTGTTACTGTGACGTAATACACGATGTTCTGACTTCTCAACATAATATCGCTCTCATAATAGCAGCTTGACCTTTAAGAATTACCAAAACACACAAGATATTAATATTTAAAAAAAATAATAATAACTTCGCACTGCCAGCCAACATTGATTTTTGATTAGGTTGTTTTATCTTTTCAACGATTAATTCCTAGCAGTTCTCGATTAAAGATTATTGCTGAACTTGACGTAATACACGATGTTCTGACTTCTCAACATAATATCGCTCATATAATAGCAGCTTGACCTTTAAGAATTCCCAAAACACACAAGATATTAATATTTAAAAAATAATAATAATAACTTCGCACTGCCAGCCAACATTGATTTTTGATTAGGTTGTTTTATCTTTTCAACGATTAATTCCTAGCAGTTCTCGATTAAAGATTATTGCTGAACTGGTTTCAAGATTCTTAATTGCATGGTAGTTTTATTAACACGCATATGTAACCGAGTTGACTTAAATAAATACAATTTTACTGAACTTGATTGTAACAAACTACTTAATCACAATATGTGATATTACAACACACACGGCTGTTAAAAATATTACTCTTAATAGGCAAAATCTGTGCAGCCAGGTGTGTCCACATATGCCGTTTTAACTGTTGTTAGGGGCCACGTAACTACGTCATGACGCAAAAGAAAGACTCGCCGAATCGTTATAATAACCGCTTCTTTGAAACGAACCACCGAGCATCCAAAACACTACTTTCCGATATCCCCGGTGTTTGAGGCGATTAAAGCACATTAAGGTTGTTAGTCGTCAGCGTGCATTTTAAAGCACACGGCTGGTGACGTAGTCTCAAGGAGTTGAATCCAGTTTTCGGCACAGCGATGTTTTCTGGAAAGCCCGTGACCCGCCGCGCCCAGCGCAGTGCTGCGAGGAGTATTGACGCCGCCATCTTGCGATTTTTGTGACGCGACACGAACTAATTTTGTATATAAACCAACTCCAAGAAAAGGCTCTTCTAAAACGCTGATCCGCTGAGATTCTAGTAACGTTAAATCAAATGGTTAATGAGATTTGGAGTTAATGGCGCCCTACTGTCGTCCACAAACACGGTCGGATCTCCGGGTGCGTCGTCTCCTCGCAGCTCAGAGCCCGCCCACATATGGAATTCAGATGATGTCATCTGTAGCCAATCAGCGCCGAGGAAACAGGACAATAAGCGTACTATTGGTCAAGGGCAATGTCATTCATTCTATTCAGGAAGGGCAGGGAGGGGGACGATTGGAGAAAATCGCCATTTTGAAAGCGTAACAAAATGAACGATAGCGACACTGAAATAATACCCTAGCTCCAAGACTGGTTGAATTGTAGCCCGTCTTAATATCCATCTATAATCTCAACGTCTCGAAAGTTAAAACCTGAAGATGATTTGACTTGCGCAGGCGACACAACAGCTCGGTTTAACTATCTCTTTACTTTCGTTTTCCTTTCAACTGTAAATTCGATGGTCCGCGTGTCACTTTTATACAGTCTATGGCAGGGGTAGGCAAGTTCGGTCCTAGAGAGCCGCAGTCCTACTTGCCTACTCCTGGTCTATGGTGTCACATCGCAGTTTGCTGCTTTGTCTTGCCGTGTTTCTTCTCCACTCTGCGGTGCATAGCTCTTCAACTGCTAGTGGTTGGTTTTGTAGCGCAGACTGCGCATGCGCAGGAGGATGCGGTTTAGAGCTCCAGTTCAGTATGGGGGAGGGTGTTTGTATGTAGGGTGAGTTGCTCGAATGAAGCCGTCTGGTTGAAGAGCAACATTTGGAGACCCGTGCAACAATATGGTATTAGTTTACCAAAAAATTAATAAAGGACAACAATCCACTCTTAATTTTGTATTGTGTATATGAGCATTATATCTCGGCGTGAACTTGAGAGACTAGATTTGAAGCGATCTAACAAAATGAAATAAATCAAAGAACTACAAAAAAAAAAAAGAGTGGGTCTGTCCGCAGCCAAAGGAAATATTACCTTTTCATTACACTCTGCAAATGTTTGTGTTTATACTTGTGGGAATCTCACTCCAGTTACCTTGAGGGAAAAAACAAAACACTGCACTTGTGTAAACATAACAGATTTGCAGCCATTTACTGTTTTGGGCCTCACAAGTAGGTGTTTGTATTCAACCGTAATAGGCTTGTGTAGGCTACCTTCTGCTTTGGTTTCACTCAATTTTTGTGTATAGCTCTTATTATTTCATATATGCTTTGACATTCGGATACTTATAATGGGGGAAGGGATTCCATAAAAAAAAGGAAACAGGGCTGACGATTAGACTTCCACTTCAGGAACCTATAAAAAGACTATTTTACTACATACACGTGCAGATACAAATGTGAGATTGTTATTTTATCATTCCACAACACCCGGATATCGAAGCAATACACAAGGTCTTGGCATAATTGAAACCTTTTACCAAATTTTATTTGTAATGGTAGACACAAGCTATTTTGCAACACAAAAAAAACACTTAGGGTGCGTTCACACTTGTAGTTCGGTTCTCTTGGTTCGTTTGGTCCAGAACAAAAAAGAAAATGATACATTTGGTCCTGGTCCGCTTAGCGTTCACACTGGCATTTTTGACAGCGAACCTAAAGATACCGAACCTAAAGGCATAGTGATACGTTCACAACCTGATTGGTCGGGTTGAATGACGTATATTTCGTGACGGAACTCACCAAACACCCCAAACAAAAGGTGCGTTACGCCTGTTTCACACATACTCCGTCTGCAGTGCGTGTACGTTGCGTTTTTTTTTACGCACCCATGTTAACGGATTAGAGCTTTAACACTGCACGCGGTTGCGGTTCGTCAGTGCGTTCCAGGTGCGGCGCGTCTGCAATAGTGCAGCGATCGTTTACGCACCGAGTCTATTTTTGCTGTGCTGCACGCGCTGAATTAAAGTGACAGCGCTTTGTTCGCGGTAAATGAACATAGATTGAGTATGAAATGTAGTAATTTCACAATAAATATATATAATTAAAGTCTACTGTGTTTCACGGGCTTTTTGGCTAGGTTTAAAACAAATAAAAGTGCACTTTTAGATATAAAAGGCAACATATGCACTTGTGTCTTGTGGAGGTAGAACAACAAAGTTCTTTAAGACCCGCTGGACTGTTTGTAATAAAGATTTAAATGTAAAAGGCACGAGAGCCGACTGTTTCTGTCAGTGGTAAGTTTTAATTTAAAATATCAATGTCGGACAGGCAAATAATGTGGTCTCGCGAATCCTGTCACTTGAATGAAATGCTTCTGGTGTGAGTTGGCACCGTGGATGGAACAAAACATCGTCAGAGCCGTAATGCGTCACTGCAGTGTATGTGCACATCGCCACGTGAAATAGGCCCTGTCCCAAATCACACCCTAAACCCTCAAGGTTTTTCTCTGAGTCTGCACTTTCGTGACGTAATGCCGCTTTGACTGTCGGGTAGAAGTCTGGTGCGGAGCTCACCCCAGTGCGGGCTCGGCAGAAGTGCGCATCGAGGGCGCATAGCGGCCACAAAGGGGGCGCTCGCGAGCACACTTTTGAACGCTAAAATGATGAATGGAACACCCTACGGTCTCGTGGACTTAATCAAAGTCCCTTTAAGACAAGTCATGTTACTCGGCGGCCATCTTTGAAACGCCTCTCGGGCATGCAAGTGCAACTCCTATCTCTTTGAATGGGGAAACATAAAATTCTACAAAACTGTTCACTAAGCTTGCTATTAAATTTCATATTTTTAATCACCAAAGAAATCTGACATCAACTGTGTCATAAATGTTGTTTATTTTGCTCAAATAGCGTTATAAAAAGCTTATTATTCAGGCTAGATCAGCCAGTGCGCATGTCTCAGAACGCTGACCGTTCTATAGCAACCGGGACTTCTAACGGCAGCTGCAGTGACGCGTTGACTTTACCGATTAGTGATTGGCTCTTTCATTCAGAAGGCGGGGCTTCCTGCGATTGAGCGGCCATATTGAGCATTGCATTTTTCCCCATTCAAAACTATACGAGTGACATGTCTTGGGTATTCTATAGTCTTTGACTTAACGGACGCACACGGCGGCCATTGTCAGCCCGCAAGACCGAAAGTGCACATGAAGTGTTCCATTTGGGACCTAAGTCGAATACACCTAACGCCGTCTGCTGGACGTTGAAACGTTGTACTTATGATTTTATTTTCACCACATGCGAACTCACGAAGAGCTCATAAAAGGCACTTTACCTCCTCTTGCTCCACGTTTGCCCTCTGCTCATTTTGTTTTTAATATACCGCTCGTTCCACGTCGTCAAATCATGTCGCATAGCATCGCATCTTGTCATTACTTCCTGTTTTTGGTTTGTTTAGAAGTATTTGGTCCGTGTTGCGTTCATATTTCATTCGAACTGCCGCTTTAAGTCTAACACACCTTTTGTTTGGGGTGTTTGGTGAGTTCCGTCACGATATATACTTAATTCAAGCCGACAAATCAGGTTGTGAACGTATCACTTTGCCTTTAGGTTCGCTGTCAAAAATGCCAATGTGAACGCTAAGCGGACCAGGACCAAATGTATCATTTTCCTTTTTGGTCTGGACCAAATGAACCAAACGAACTGAACTACAAGTGTGAACACACCCTTAGCGGTCTCGGTCTGCTTGTTTGGTGCGCATCAGGGCTCGGATGGTAGCGTTCACACTTAAGGTCTCTGCACACTGAGTCCGAATTTTTCGTCCAAAATGTTCGCACGTTGAAAAATAAATACGACCTCACGTTGTCAATCACGTTTACACACTGCCTCCGAAACTTTCGTCCGTCATAAAAAAAATTTGGACCAGGTTCGATTTTCTGCGTTTTCGCATCCGTAGCAAGCATTTTGATATACGAATATGGAAAAAACTGAAAAACGCATACGAAAGTTTCGGACTCGGTGTGCAAAGACCTTTAATCAAACGAACCGCACTAACAGAGCAATCACACCAGGGTTCGTTTTAATCAAACCAAACATGACAAGTATGAACACACCCTTAGGTTTAGGGATTCAGACAAACTTTGGGATGCATCATTTGTGCTAGGACATGAATGTCACCTCAAATCATGTGGCTTACTCTGCTATTACTTATATTACTTGCAACTGCATTTTTGCCTGGTGGTTGAGCAAACAAATCCCATAGATTTATACTGAAGGAGGGCCCCGAGCCATATTTAGAAACCAAAATATCAGGTGAACTCTTCTACCTCATGACCACTTATCAACCATCCAGAACACCTTAGCAACAGCAGTTGTGTCCCTAAATATGTGTTTATACACTATGCACTCTAGCGTACGAAGTTATTTTGTCATCCAACATCAAAGTCCGCTAAGTGTGGAAAAACTGTGACAGTTGAGTGCATGAAGTATCCAACACTTCGGCTGTATCCGAAATCACCCCCATTCACTATTCCCTATATTACTCCATCTAATATAGTCCACTGAATGCGTGAATAAATATGAGTAAGCGAATTCGGACACTGAGTGCAGTGGAAGTGCTGTGAATGGCGCCATCTTCTGGCAAGATGAGGTGCATTGTGGGATTGAATGAGTGCACTCGATAATGTCCACTATGGTTTTGGACACCACTACAAATGGCTGTCCCATCAGATAATGCACTATATAAGGGTATAGGGGGCTATTTCAACACATTTTTTTTTCTCAGATAATTAAGTGCATCAACTTGGTTTTTGAAGTTCACTTTTTCCTCATTCCTCATTGTTTATACTACAAAACAAGTACTCAAAATTCAGTTTGGAAGTCCTGTTGTGTTGAGGGTTTCTTATAATAATTATAATAATAATAATAATAATAATAATAATAACTATAATAATTCCCTCCTGGTGGAATGATCTGCCCAACTCAATCCGAGCAGCTGAGTCCTTATCCATCTTCAAGAATCAGCTAAAAACACATCTCTTCCATCTTTATTTGACCATCTAACTCTAGCACTCTCTATTCTAATTCTATTCTTTAAAAAAAAACTTGTCGAAAAGATTTCTATTTTAAATAAATGCTCTTCTTTTTAGCTTTTTCTTCATCAAAGAATCCTGAAAAAATGTATCACAGGTTCCAAAAAATACTAAGCAGCACAACAGTTTCCAGCACTGATAAGAAATCAGCATATTAGAATGATTTCTGAAGGATCATGTGACTTTATACTGGAGTAATGTCGCTTTGGATAAAAGCGTCTGCTAAATGACTAAATGTAATAAGTGACTCACTATAATCTTAATTGCAGTATTTTTTCCTTCTTTAGGCATTCATCTCGCTAGGCCGAGCCTTCAGGCTCATTTCTCCACAGCGGGCTGCAGAGCCCTATGTTTGGACTGTATGATGAGAAGAATGCTCGCCGTGGATGAACTCACTCTCTCTCTCCAGCCCGCGCCCCTGAGGGTCTGCGCTGGGAAACCCCGCGGAATGTAGAGGCGGAGCGCGCAGTGACAGAGAGCCGAGCGGGGGTGAGCGGGGGGAGGCGGAGTCACGGCACTTCTGCCAGGGCCGCCATTTTTGCACAGGGAAAAGAGACAGGATTGAAGGGATCCAGTTTCTAACTGTCGGCACAGATACGGACAAAATTATCGGGCTTTAACAGACTCTAACTGTACTTTGGGATTAGAGCACCACGAAGCGAAATACAGGTGCGAAATAGCGCGATTTGTAAAGCTTTGTTACACACCTGCAGTGGAGAGCGAAGTATTGTTTTGGTTGTGTGGTAACTGTTAGATCAGGCGGCGGGGTCTCACCCGAGTCCCCCGTGTCTCTATTCACAGTTATTACAGTGGACATCAACGGTAAGTACCTGCCGAAATCCTACAGCTATCTGTTTGTTTATTAGAGATGGTTGTTTGATGCCAGTGGCTAAGTGACTTGCTGAAGAGAGTCCCATCCTCGTGTGGATGCTGAAATTGGCTTTAATGAGCTTGTATTAATAGTTTGTTAAACTTAGATGTAATTACAACGCCGCTGTGCATTTGTCAGCCCTCCTTTTGAGGTATAACGTTAAATCCCACCTGGCTTGTTGTAAAGAGGGCAATCCGAGCAGTGTATGACTTAATTTAGCAGCTAAGGTGGCTAGCTAGCTCACACCCACCGTTAATGCCTCGCAGAAGGAAAGATCTTAAATTGTATCGCTGTTTTATAGTGGTAGCAACCAGAAAAGCTGCACACAAGAGTAGCGGAAACTCGTTGTCGTTTCTCTTGCGTTGTTGTAAAGCTGCTAGCAACACCAGCAGTCACTGGAGAAATGCTAGCAAGTTAGCCAGCCAAGAAAGAAACGGCTCAAGACTTCAATAATCTCTTTAGATGCTGGGATGTGCTGCAAAAAAAACTGCTTTGAGTGTTTCACGTTTGGTGAAGTCGTGGTCACGTCCCACGATATGTTGCTCCCGCCACTTATCTACAGTCCTGACGGTGATATGCACACGTTTACAACTATTTACACGTGTTTTTGTTGTGCATTTTAGAGAATGAGAGGTGTGAAATGTTTAAAATGGCACGTTGTGCTCTGACAGAGCCTGCAACAACAGGGCTTTTGTTTACACCTCTCAACTCCAGCTAACCATTCACTAGGTCCACTCTTATCCCATACCCAGCAAACAAACACACTTTTTAAGCCTATTGACTAGCACTGACTCATAGTAGTAAGGCCATCTAAAATACGATATGTGATTTTAATCTATTGTTTTTGGACTTGCTCTAATCGCTGCAGAGAATACGACTTAAGTGCTGCTTAGCATAATAATGCATAGACTTAGCAAAGAGGACAGAAAATGAGCGCTTATTTAGTGTCTGTCTGATGTGTTTTGTGTGGTTGTGTGCTGATAATGAGTGCTGCAGGCATGGGGGAGGGGTTCGGGCTCGGTTCATGTAGTCAGATCTGCTTTAGCTTTTCCTCAAACTGGACCAGAACCGCGCTGCTTTACCAGCGAACTGCGCAGTTATGCCATTTGTAGCCAATGAACCGTCACTCGACGCGTTTTTAGGTTTAGGACGATTAGGGTTTGATATTTATTGTTGGAAATTTGATGTATACCTTAAATGCTCCAGTGTATCATATCGCTGCGCATTAGCTTAGCAAGCTAAGCATTTAGCTTCACCGACTAGCTGTTTGCAAGGATGTTGATTAATTAGTCGACCCGACGCGTTTGGTTTAGCAATGTAGACGTGCTAACAGATCATTTGGTTATTTAAACGCCAAACGAAGTCGTTAAAACGCACTTTCCCCCTCAGATAATCGCGTACATTGTGAGGCAAGTTGAGGTTAGCTAGTCGTCGTCAGTCAGAGTCGCTAGCTACGCAGAAACGACGCAAACACTTCGTTCCAGCACAAAAACAGCGCATTTGACAAATAGATACTTAAGCATATGTGAAAGGGCGGGTTTCTTGTGATCTTGGCCGTTTTCTGTCAAATTTCAGCGAGTCTTCGAGCGCAGTATTTCCTCTCAGGTGCTTAGTGAAAATGGCGGATGAGTTGATGTTGTGGGAATGAAAGCCTCCACACCCCTAGATCAGCTCACACACACTGCAGCGCCAACACACTCACCCACAGGCAAGTGCACAACACACACCAGAAAAATACATTGCTGTGTTTCACCAAATATGCTTATAGCTTGCGTTCAGGGCTTTAGCACATAAACTGAACCACATGAGTGTGCTAGATGTGCAGCCTTGTTGCTAAACCGGGATAAACCATCATAAATGTATGTACAACACTCAAATCTCAGCTCATTCATGAAGCAAAGTATAATACACGACAAGTGATCTGTCGTTGTTGCCCTTACAGTGTTCAACAAAAGCTTTCCCCCTTCAAATGGTTGTTTTCATAGAGGATAAACAGATAATTGTTGTCTTTACTAGAAGTTTAAGTGTGCTAAACATGAGACAGGTGTTGGCAAGATGTCACACTGGAATTAAGTAAAAGTATAAACATGCAGCCCTTTGTGGAAGGAACAATAAGGGATTTATTACTGGCACTGCTCATCTTTGTTTCATAGTAGCACAGACAATCTTCAATCTAGCTCAAACAACTAATCTGCTTCCTTCCTCGTTTCACAACACAATATATTCTAGGCCTGGGTGGTATGACGATATATGTACCGTTTCATCGATAGAGGTTTTTGCTATTCTGCGATATGTAAATAGTGTTACACAATGTTATAGCAATAAAGAAATAATCGTAAAAAAAAAAAAAACGGTTCTTCCGTTGACTCCTCAGAATGAGTTCTATTTCACAGCTTATTGCGCTTGAACGTTCAAATACACACAAAATGCTTTTAATATTTTTAAGACATTGCAATGTCTTTAATAAAAAAATATGAATATAATTCATACAGTGAAGACTGCCGTGTTTTTTCGTTCGATTTGATTTCTGCAGTATTTCTTACATGATATTGTTAAATAGACCTACTGTACCTGAAAAACTTGAAGCAATAGGCTATTTGTTTCATTTATATCTTTCTTATATTGTATTTCTCCTATTGTTATTTGCATATTGTTTCTAATTTGTAATAAAGAATAAATAAAATTACAAAAATAGCTTCTTTGTGAAATAAAATTACTCGTATTGTGAAATAAGAACTTCGTCATACCACCCAACTCTAGGAAATTCTTTTGTCACATAGTTTACCTTACTGGAGATTCTTGACTATGAAAGGAAAGGTTGTGCTGTACCAGAAACCTAGATGTGTGCATTGCCTCACCTAAAGTATTAACAGGAAATGAGATGTTTCTAGAGCTCACGCACAACCATCTGCATCTTAAAACTACTCAGCAATTACAGTTTTGGTTTAACGGCCACACCAAGGAGTACAACTTTATTTGAGGATGCTGTTGAGTTTACTGCAGTATTGAAAAGAGCGCAACCCACACAGCTGTCATATTTCTCTCATGATTACTGCTCCCTCCCTCTGGTCAGCGGGGAGTTTACAGGTCCAGAAGAATGTGGTTATTCATCAGAGCGGTAAACATGGGCCCTAATGCGTAATGAATAGACGATGATGCTGCAAAAAGGGCATCTTGATCTTGGATAGGAATGCTCGTGCGTGAACTGATAGCTCTTCATCGGGGGCTTCAGTTATCCAGCGGGTCAAGCCATCACGCCGCACATGAATGCTGATGTTTATGCGTTTTATCACACTTAATGTGTCTGGTTTCTTTCGCTCAGCCTGATGCACGTGTTGCTGTAGCTTTTGGGGGCAGGTAGAATAGCTTACAGGGTCAAGCTGTGAGATAACAGCTGTGACTCGATTGTTTCTCCTTTGACATTGACAAAGACCCCCCCCCCGAGCTCTCCTTTCACCTCACATCCACTGGCCGTAGCAGATGCATGACTGTGGAAAGTTTGACTGTGGAAGTCCACCCATATAACTGTGTGTGGGCACCACTCAAGGCCTCATCCTGCGTAACATACGTTAATGTTGTAAATGCGTTTTCATCAATAGAAATCACTTGCTGCCTTTGTTAACCGCAGCGCTGTTCCTATAACTTTTGGCACTATGGTCATATTTGGAAAGGCTTTCCGTTATAAAAACCAAGGCGTTGCTCCAACAGCTTTTTTTAAAACGCCATTTTGTGTGTATTTCTTGTAGAATCCAGTGATATGTGCTAAATGATTTCCTTAGCCAAACTGTGAGACCGGCCTCTGTGGTGCAAACTTTGTCAGCCACGGGTGAGATGATGGTCTGAGACACTTGCCAAGCACATGCTTTGGACCCTTTTTCTTCAGGACAGCACCATGGCTGGGATTCAAGATGGCCATTAAGAACGGATTTGTCATGTATTGTATAAATGCTGATTTGCTCCATGAATACTATATTTTTGTCTGTGGCAATGTTTTTTGCATGGAAAAGCTCAAACCTATGCTTGAATACAGATAACGAGAGGAGCAGACCATGTACAGTGCAGGCTGTGGCTTTCTGACAGGCGTTTCCTGTAGGTGGATGTCCAATCGTTGGCATGTAGTGGTGTGACATCACAGCGAGGCTGTGCAGCTGTGCAAAGAGGATGGAACATCAGCCTACGCACATCAACACACAGCTCACAACTCCGACAGCGACACCAGAGGGAAGTGATCCACACGGAGAATGAAGCAGAAGCTTGCTTTGCTGCAAAAACCTGGCTTGTTTTTAAATGGTAAACGTAGTGCATTTCAACCCCGCTGTGTCTCATTGGATGAAAACACGGCGGATGAACTTGAAGAGTTCCGAATGAACACTCGACGGTCTCATGTTTTGCATAACCTGTCTTTTTTTTAATGTCATTGCATCCTAGGGATGCATGGAAAGGTTAAGGTTGTATATGACAACTGATATAAGAAGTGAAGATTCTTATTGTACTAGGGCATAATAAAGTTATATATTCTATTATTTTGACTTTTTTCAGAACATATCTGCCTGAATGTTTGAAACATGCAATTCCGATCAGCATAAACAGCTCAGCAGCAGCTGCATTCACCATCCTGTCTGTCAGGTTGTCACGTCACACACGCATTCTAGCCTCACTGCACATGGGTGACTCAACGCTGTGTGTGTGTGTGTCTGTTTGTTCTCTGTGTTGACAGAGGGATGGAGAAGTAAAGTGGACGAAATGGAGGTTATAAAGGGAGAGAGAGGCAGGTGGCTCAGAATCGCAGTCTCAGGTGACGCATCTTTGCACACACACACACATGCTAAAATCTGACAAAACACACTCCAGAGCCTTTCCGGTTTTCTCGACTTGTATGAGATAACTTACAAGATACTGTGTTTTTATATGTAGAGCCCATGTTTTATTGAGCTGAGGTGTGGTTAATCGT